CTAATGTAGCCAATCCTCCAAGAGCTTGCAGAGCTCTTCTTACAGGAGCTACTGTAAGCTCTTGGAGGATTGGCTACATTAGGGGTGTGTCGCTTAATATGCAAAGGAGTACCTGCTACAAAAAGAGCCCCGCTTTTGACCAAAACACTGGCAGTTTCCGCCAAGACATTTTGTTTTCATAGTTTCTCTACTCTTACTGAGCATCGTTACGAACTACCCCTAGTAATTACTTCTAAGTTGTCCTCCCCGATCCCAACTTGAGGTTCCTGCTACTGCAAAACTCGTTTTGTCAAACTCTTAGGTCGATCCGAGACAGAGTCTTCAAGATCCTGCCAAAGGAAGGCTTCATGGGTCGGTGGAAGAGTTCCCGTTTGGTGGGGCGGAGAGGAGAGGAGGGATACGAGCCACAGGCTATTAGCCCTTTCCCACAATCCTTCATTGATCCACAGCTTCCACATTCATCCATCACAGCCCTGCAGAAACACTGGCCGTGTTCAGACGGGCAGTTTGCAGCGCTAGGGGAGTCACGTCAAAGAAGACCCGGAACAGACCCGGAATGGCTTGGTCGTGGTATTCCCGTTCACACTGCAGCAAATGAAGCGGGAGGATACCGTGGAGGGAGTGCAAGGGAGCGTTTGCACTGCTGGCCCGCCCCGGCGGGCTGTTAGCGGCTGTTTCTGCGCTCCGCTGCATGCGCCTATGCGCATTCAACGACTGTGGGTTGTTCCCACCTTACAGCGCTTGCGTTCACACGTCAGGGAACCGGAATCAACCCGCTCTCCACACAGTTTGCTACCACTTCCACCAGGTACTTTTAAAACTCGGGAGGGAAGCGGTACAAGACGGCTTGAGTACAGCTGGGGGACGCCGGACAGCTGTGCCTGTGTGAACCCGCCCCTTTAATCCGCTAGTGAAACGCTCCTGAAACGTTTGGCTGTCGGGCCGAACTGCCAGTCTGAATGCGGCCATTATTACGAAATGTTAACTTCCTCATCCTCTCGACAAAGTCACAAGTGTGGAGTTCTGATAACCAGGCCTAGATGGCTTTTACTCAGCTAATTACCAAGGCAAAAGATAGTGTTGCTGGGCGGCTGTTGTTGACTCTCCAGCGCCCCCAGTCCTCCTGGCCAGACGACAGTATTGCAGGTACTATTACAGAACCTTCTTGGTAACCCAAGGGTCCCAACTGGCCCGATGAAGTCTCAAACTGTGGTGGGACTCCAGTTCTCTCAGAGCTCTCTCAGCCCCACGCTCAGAGGTGGTTTGCCATTGCCTGCCTCTGCGTAGCCACCCTGCATGTCCTTGGTGGTCTCCCATCCAAAATCTAACCAGGGCCGATCCTGCTTAGCTTCTGAGATGGGACGAGATCGGGCTCACCTGGGCCATCCAGGTCAAGGCAAGAAGCAAACAGAGGTGGTTTGCCATTGCCTGCCTCTGCATAGCCACCCGGGATTTCCTTGGTGGTCTCCCATCCAAATATTAACCAGGGCCGACCCTTCTTAGTTTCTGAGACCCTGCTTAGTTTCTGAGATCCAGTGAGAGTGGGCCAGCCTGGGCCATCCACATACAGGGGTGGTTTTACCACTGCCTGCCTCTGCACAGCAACCCTGGACTTCCTTGGTGGTCTCCCATCCAAATACTAGCCAGGGCCAACCCTGCTTAGCTTCCAAGATCTGATGAGATCAGGCTAGCCTGGGCCATCCAGGTCAAGGCACAGAGACAAACAGTGGTTTGCCATGGCCTGCCTCTGCGTAGCAACCCTGGTCTTCCTTGGTGGTCTCCCATCCAAATAATAACCAGGGCCGACCCTGCTTAGCTTCTGAGATCCGATGAGATCTGCCCAGCCCGGAGCTATTCAGGTCAGGGCTTTGTTTCTTTACTCTGAGCGTAACGTCCCAATGCGATGTTTTTCAATTACTTCTTGGCAGGGGGAAGTAGTCTATTAAAGCGTTTTGAAGGGCAATAGATTAATATGATTCCTTATTAGACCCAGCAGTGTTCCTCCTGTGCTTTTTTAATTTCCTTTGCTACTTCGGATGAGAATCAGCTAGAGAGAGAAAGGGGGACGTCGAGACGATCGCACCAAAGGCCCCATTAATCTGGAACCCCTCTGTCGGTCTGTGTCAGAGTTCGGCGGCCTCCCCTTTTCGTATTCGGGTTCATATTCTCGGTCATTTTCAAAGGCATGGCTTTTCGGTAGACCCTTCCTTTCATTTTGGAGGGGGGGGAGGGTAGGTCACTGGCTCCCAAAGGCCAACCTTCCCATGATGGATCGCTCCTTGCATGCCGTGATCGATGCCCAAGGACTGATGTACAGCTTAAGGTGAAAAGATTAATAAATAGACCAGTCCAGAAGGATACCATTAAGAAATTGGTTTGGGGGTGGACTTGGGGGATATGTGACCTTTTAGGTTTATAGGGAGTTTGTGGGGTTTTTTTTCAAGTGGACTTGACTCTGACCCCTAACTCCGGTGACCCCAAATCTCCATCCTTTTCCCTCTGATTACTCCATTTCTCACGATTGTGCTCTGTGACAGACGGTTTCATTATCACTCAGGGGCAGCGCATGTATTTGGCATGCAGAAGGTCCCGGGTTCAATCCCTGGCATCTCCAGTTGAAAGGACCAGGCAGGAGGTGTCGGGAAAGACCTTTGGCCTGAGAGGCCCTAGAAAGCCGCTACCAGTCAGAGCGGACAATACCGACCTTGATAGACCACTAGTCAGTTTCAGCATAAGGCAGCTTCATGTATTCAACCCTGTATCCTACACAAGAACCAGGCTTAGATTATAGAAATTCTGAAATTCTAGTTTAGTCAGTTTGTCGTATGATACACACCAAGGCTTTGACAACTGAAACATGGTAAATATGCTGGGTGTAGGACAAGGGACCAAGTAGATGTGATTTCTGAATGGGATTTTTAAAAATATTTTCTCTGACATATATATTGACAGGTGTCACTGTGCCTTCATAAGAGTTTAATCATAGTATATTCAGATTTCGGTATTTAGCCCAGATGGAATAAAGTTATAGTAGAATGAATATGTTTTAGAAGTGTATTCTCAGATATAAGAAATTATATTAAGCAAAGGTATTATTAGAGGCCTCTGCAGATGTAATTGGAATGCAATAGAATGGAATGTGCAGAGGTCATTTCGGGGGGAATCGCAGGGGATCGCAGTTCCCCCGGGTGAGGTACGGGGGGCGGGGCACATGACGAAGCCCCGCCCCCTGCTTCCGGCCCTCATTCAGCCAGGAGGAGGCAGGAGAAGAGGGAGGGTAAGTTGCTTCCTCCCTGCCTCTCCCCACCCTGCCTGCCTGCCCGGGAGGGCCTTCGCAGGGCTTCCTTGCACTCCCGCTGGCCTTGCAGGTCCACCGCCGGGCCCCTCATGGG